CACTGGGGAAAAACTGTACCCATGTAACACGTAATGTACCATATAAAAGACAGCAGCAGCCCTGGGCGGGGAGAGAAGAAGCAGTCGGGAGTCAGAGAGGATGTCAGGGTGTGTGTGTGCCTCTGCCTGAGCTGTGAGCAAACCACAGCAGCCCCAGAAGAAAGTATGTTAGATAACTTGCAATAAACTACCTTGAGACCAGACAACAGAAGAATACCGAGCCTTTCTTTGAAAACACAGGTTGGAGGAGAGATTTTTCCACCACACGGAGCCACCCCTGACCCATTTGGCAAACATGGTGTTGTCTGCAAACGGAGTGTGCCCTCAATCCCCTCACACAAATCATCAATTAAAACATTGAACCTGACTGGCCCCAGAATTGATCCTGGGGACACCACTGGTGGCTGCCTGTGGCACCATTCCCAACCACCCTCTGGGCTTAGACATGCAGACAATTCTTAACCCAGGGAAGATGCTCCTGTCCAGGCCCCGGGCTGCAGCTTTTCCAGGAGATGTTGTGGGATGTTGGAATCTGTGCTATTGATGATTCTGAGATTGTAGAAAGTCTCTGTCTTTCTGCCCCGTTGCCAAAGCAGAAGCCATAATTCATCTGTGCTGGTTTCAAGGTTGTTTATTCTGTTTATCTCTAACATGTTCTGCTGCCCTGCCGCAGCTCTGTCCTGCAGGGCAGCGTGTGGGGCTCTGCCCTCAGTGGGATGGTACAAACATTAAATACCAGAAACTACCTGTGCTGGATTTACAATAATGTGCCAATATCTGTCACCTACGTTGGACAGTGTGTCCCCAGCCTGAACCAACAGAAAAATGCCAACACTACAGTGAAACATGGAGGGCATGAAGAAGGAGGAAAAGGACAAGGCACACCCAATTTCCTCCATCTTGTCCCCTTTGGACCCCTAATCTAGAAACCTAAAATTTTACTTTTGCACCCGTGCCACACTTAATTATTACTGATATCAAACACTCAGAGCTTGTAATTCATCCTGTAAGATTGAAAACTCTTTTCCATGGACAGAGATCACAGACAGTGTCTCTGGGGGCTCTGTCCAGGGGGGTTCCTGACCCCTGCCAGGGTCCCTGACCTGCCAGGGCAGCCAGAGGGATGCCCTGGATTCCCACAGTGGGAGACAGTGTCAAAGGCTTTGCTGAAGTCCAGGCACACAACACCCACAGCCTTCCCTGCATCCCCCCGAGGGATCACCTGGTCATAAAAGGAGATCAGGTTGGTCAGGCAGGACCTGCCTTTCCCAAACCCTTGCTGATCCCTTGGTTATCATGTTTGTGCCACGGGATCACGCTCAGGATGATCTGTTCCATGGTTTCCTCAGACACCAGGAAATAACATCAGGCATAACAGCAGTTAGACATTTGTACTTGCTCCTATATTTAGATAAAATGCTGCACTCTTGAGCCTGTTTTGCAAAAGAGTTGCTCCATAATAATGATGAAAAATACTGCCAATATATTGTAAAGGTAAACCTGCCAAGCTAACTGTGGGATGAGCAAAACAAAACCTGACTGGTGTTCTCACAGATCTTTGCAATGCACCATGCCCTATCCTCTCCTCAAAAATAGTCACTGAAATCTCTAAATAAAATTGTCATTTTCACTTCATTCTTCCGGGGTTTTGTCTTTGAAACTTGTGACTTGGCCTCCTTTATGAATTAAGTATATTTTGTGCATAAATCTGGTGGGTTTTTTTTTAATATTGAAAAATAACTAAAGTTGGTGTCAATCTGCTTGGTTCCAGCAGCTTTCTGATTTGTGACTGTGGGCTTTGTCAGTGTTTGTATTCACATCACTGCATAAATGAAGTGTCAAAGTAATTTCAGCATTATTTTAGTGTGGGTTTGCACCACTACTAGTGGTGGAGTGAGAGATTTCTCATGGGTAATACTGAGGGAAATTTATAATACCTGAAGATCCATTACATAACTTTCTCAATTTTAATCCTTTGATGAAAACACAGCAAGTTTCTCACAATATTTTCCCTGCAGTCACACAAATGTTTCTGCAATGTTTCATCAGGCTTTTTATTTTTAAAGCAGGGAGAATACAGGAATAACCACATGGAGAAATACAAAGAGGGAGTACCTAGAGAGGAAAAATTCAGTCTTTATGGTGGATTATCAACAGAACCTGTGTGAATAAAGTCTGCTCTTATGGAAAAAAAAAAATCAAAGTTCCTTCTGGCATGAATAATCAGAATAACAGAAATTTTCAGAATTTGGATGCAGACCAATTGGGCAGAATTCACAGGAGTAGCAGAACTCGTAAAACTGGACTTGAGGAGGACAAGTGAAAAATTTGGCCTTGTTCTAGAGAAAGGGTAGGGCAGAAATCATAATGTTTATAAAAGGCAGTTCTAAGAAGGAAAGGAGATAACTATCTCATGAATGTAAACTGTTATAAGGAAGATTTAGACTAGAAAATACCAGATGTTTTCTAGAGGGTTGGCAAAGTAAACATACTGCATATTTTTGGACATTGGTCCTGTTGAACTCAGGTTTCAGGACTATGAAACGAATAATTTCCTTTCTTTTTCCACTTTAACAGACCCTTGTTTTCTAGGATAGTTCTTTGCAGATCAGGAAGTGACTCATGCTTCTAAAACAGCCTGTTCCACTATTGCAGTGTGATATTTCCTTGTTTAGCATCATCAATTAGGTGGTGTATTTCATCAGGAAAGCCAAAAGCACTTCTGGTGTTGAGGAAAAGCAGATATTCAATATGAGGAGGAAGCCTTTCACAGCAAGGCTGGTAAAAGACTGGCACAGGTTATCCAGGGAGGTGGTATTCCCATCCCTGGAAATACCCAAGGTCAGACGGGACAGGGTTCTGAGCAAGCTGATGCAGTGGAAGATTTCCCTGCTCATTGAAGGGAGGTCAAATTAGATTAACTTTGAGGTTTCCTTCCAACCCAGGTTATTCTGTGATTCTGTGCATGCAGTCAGAGCTCATTGTGTGAAAGGGATTGTTTGGGCCTTCTGCTGTTTTAACCCAGCATTTTGAAAACGTGGGTGCAGGGAATTCCCTGCTTGGTCAACATTTAAAACCATTCCTAGAGTGTTTGCACATCTCAGAAAATCAATAGTAACTGCAAAACACCTCTGTAGTACCCGGTACTTACTTTTCAGAGCCAAAATCCTACTAGGATTAAGTCAAACTTTGTGTTTGTTTGAGGTATTATGGATGTAGATTGAAGGGAGTGCTGGATTTTAGAAACAAAAGGGGTTGTCCTTGGAGATAGGAATGCACCAGATACTCTATTGCCACACCTCTGAAGGCTGTGGTTGACCCAGTGAAACAGACAAAACCCACCCAGTTTGGGTAGCAATGCCAGAAAAAAAATGACAAGATTTTTTTGTGTTGCTATGAAAGCATTTTTATGTTTTTGTTGTGTGGATTTTTTTTCCTTTTCATTTTCCCCTTCACAGTTGCTCTGAGATTATTTGGATTAGTGTTGGCATCAGTGGCTGCTTGGTATTTGGGATACTTTGTTGCTGCTTATGTACCCCAAAATACAGTATCTATTGCTGCACTTCAAGAGATTGGAAAGAAACCAGTGTTGAGGGGTATGTAGTTGTATTTATTTCCTTTTTTCCCCTTTCTTATACTGTATCTGATGTTGTGTATTTATGTGCTAAATAATAAATGGTTTGTTGAGAGGTATGTAGTTGTATTTATTTCCTTTTCCCCCCCTTTCTTATACTGTATCTGATGTTTTGTATTTATGTGCTAAATAATAAATGGCTTGTTGGATAAGAAATTATTTGGTATGTGCTATTATAAGAATGAAGTTGACTGTAAAGCTAATTAAAACAAAGCTAAACCTTTTCTTAGACACTGTTTTTGAAGAAACACAATGCCAGCCTATTTTTACATGTGTACAAAGGCAATTATTTGAACATTGATGTAAGAACACCTTATTTGTTTGCAGGCAAAAGAGTGCAAATCTGCAGCTTTGTTTCTATTACACATATTTTATATTTATGATAAACAGCTGAATCACTGACTAAACTTTGTGAGTTAACTCTCATTATTTTTTAGCTCTGCTCTGACCAGGTGGTTTAATGTGTATACTTTTGACATTCTCTGACTAAGTCATTGTGTGAAAAAAGGACTTAAAATAAGAATGGTAACTATTCATGTGAAGCTGTTGATAGGAAACCTTCATCCTGGTAGCCCTTGTTTCCTGTGATGTGGAATAGCAGATAATAATGACCTTATTTTCAATTACACCTATTTGGAAATCAGTGATAACTTCCAGCCCAACCTGTGATGAAGTTACCACCATCCCAGGATTCTGTGTTCAGATGTTTTGAGTTCAGCACGTTGACTTTAGGGGATTCATCCCATGTCAAAAATGTTCATGCAGCATCCAATAAAACATTTTTTCATCTTTGCTGTTGCAGCCCCAGCCCCCAAAAGGCAGAAGTGTGACCTCTGGTCTCCCTGCCCACCTGAGAACTTCGCCTATCGCATCCTCAGTGGTGGTGGCAAACAGAGGAGGCCAACAATTTGTTTTGAGGATGAGGAGTGAGTATCCCTCTAAATTACACCTAAGCAAGTGCTTTGTACTGTGAGCAAAGGTGTTTGGGTTTGGCTCAGTAGCAGCAACTGACCTCCTACCAAGGGCTTCTATTCTGGTGGAAAACTTCAGAATTTTTCTGACAGTATTTAACTCTTCTTCTTCTTCTTCTTCTTCTTCTTTTTTAACCTAATCTCCAGTGATTTTCTTTGTTCTTCTATATAAGCTGCAGATAGCTGATAGTTTTCAGCAGGATTTTTTATTTTCATGGTGCAGGATAGCAGATTTACAGAATGTTGACTGCTCAGCACCTTCTGAAAGTCAGCTTCTTTCATGGCTTTTCAAACTGGACAGGTGAAATAACTTCAAAACCTTGCAGTGACCTTTACTGGAAACATAATCCACAGAGAGTACAAAACCACTTCATCTTGTTTTGGTTTGGTTTCTTTTTCTCCTTTATCTTTCTGGATGCACTTGTATGAAATATTTTCTTGATCTGGCTCATTTTGAAAGAGTCATTGTTGAAGGAAACTGATGGATAGACTGTGCAAGATTTTTAAACACTTATTTAAAATAGAATTTTGAATTAAATACCTGAAGGAAACATAAGTATCAGAAAATTACACTGGTAAACATAACTTTGCAACAGAGCAGATGGACAGAGGTATTTTATTTTACTGATACTGTATTTATTTCAATTCCAGGCTTATAAATGCAGGGAATCATGTGGCTGGAAGTGGTATAAACATTGCCATTGTGAATTGTAAGTAAGAGAAAAAAATGTTAGAGAGAGACATACTTTTGTACTGCAATAAATTACCTGTGTTCCTGGGGGGCTTGGATATCTTGTTTTGTGGGGGGTTTTTTACCAGCTACTATGGAAAGGAAAGGAAAATATTGCAAACTTGATTCACGTTAATGTAAGAAAAACAAATCTGTGTGATAAAAAACAGTCTTCTGGGTAAACAAAAGAAACATGTTCATAATCAATACAGGAAAATAGAATAGAAAATGTGCACACAGATGTGGTGTATTTCATTAGACAAAAGACTTGTAGCACAGCAAGAATATATGTGATCTGCAGCAGTAGGACTCTGCTTTCAGCTTCAGTCCTTGATAAAATACATCTGCTGCTCCACTGATGCGGGAGAAGCAGGAACTGAGAGCTGCAGTTCTGCCTCAAGGTGTAGCCATGGTACAAATTCCTTTTCCAGACTTGTTCAGGATATAGAAAGACAAATTCAAATTTTAATTAATATTGAACTTCCTTTTGCTTATAGTAAAAGCCAATGGAAGCAGCAGGTGTGCTTTATGCTAGGTTTGGAGGCACCTAAATCCTAAATTTTGATTCGATGAATGGGCATGGTGATGAAATGCAGTGTATTCAATAATGAGCTCAGGGAAAAATGAATGCCTAAATCTTGTGGGGGAGAGGAAAAAAAGGGAATTCACAGGCACAGTCAAGCTGGCTTTGATCACAAAACACTCATATTTTAATTTTTTTATCTCACTATTGCTAAGCAAGATCTTGATTTTGTCTAAACTTGTATGATTTTCCTGAGGATTAAATTAACCACTGACAAGAATTTGTTCCAATTTTTTTCCCCAGTTAACTACTGCCTTTTTTTCCAACAATCACAAAATGTTTACTGGGTATAAAATATAAAAATGAGTTTTAAATGAGAGTAAGAGAAGGAATATTCATCTTGAAAGCACAAGCAAGATAGTGGCAAATAGGAGCAGGTAAATCTGTCCAATATCCTGCACCAGTCTGTAGTAAAACATATTTTTTTTTACATGTCCATTAATTAGATAAGGCAAGATAATGACTGTTCTCAATAAGTGCCTTATGGATGAAAGGCTGAACATCTCAAACACTGCACAGAATAGAATTACGCTCATTCAAATAATTTTAGGCTTAACCAATTTTCCTATCCATGGCCATGACCTAGTGTAGTATATACAAACACCAAAAAATGAATTTTTCTTTAAAATAAGAAGTGATAAAAATTTTTAGTCACATTTGATGATTTAGAGACTACACAAAACAAAATATTCTCCCCAGATCTTAAAGTTTTTATTTCATATTTCTTCCAATTTAATAACTGAAGCAAAAGAAGTCAAATAATAAAATTAGGAATGCCTATCTTTACCTGAAAATGCTGTGTTTGCCTATTGAATAAAATAATATTTGCTCATATTAAGTTTTTTTTTTAAATTACAGATAAAACTGGAAAATTCATGTCAACAAATTTTTTCGAAATGTGGGCAGGAGGTAAGGAAAAGAATCCAAGAAAGCTTTTGTTAGTGTTTCAGCATTAAGAAAAGACATATACATGTAATTATCCTCCTCTTTCCTGTTTGACTTTGTATTCTCAACAGGGATCAGCTAGAAACAAACAGCTGCTGTTTTCACAAAATATGCTCTGGCCAGATATGATGACAAATTATGCCTGAAAAGCTGAATTTCTCCTGTTATTTGAGATAGTTGATGATCTTTTTTGTTATCTTGTCCTTTTCCTTTTTTTTTTTTTTTTTGGTTGGTTGTTTTTTTGTTTTATATTTTTCCTTGGTCTCCATTATTTCAGTCTGGTAGTAATGGCACTTAAGCAGTTATGACATCCAGACACTTTGCTCAGCAAAATTCCTTTTCCTGACACACCTTGTTCTATTTTAGTTACAAAAGCATCATAGTCATAAAATCATCATGGGAAATTTGCTTATCTCTTAACAGCCTTCCACATTGCTGGAAAGATTGTCTACTTTAAGAATATCTTTTAACACATTTATTATACTTTGAATGGCAAGTTTCCTTACCTGTTAGTGAGGAGAACCAGAATGCTCCAAGGCACTGGAAGCTGATTCCCTGACTCCTTAAAAATGCTCATGAGTGTAGGTGCAGGAGTAGAAGGTGATGTGTGTGCCAGGAATAACCAGCTGTGTGATTGACTCCACAGACCACTCCAGGGAGATGATGGATTTCATCAGGAAAGCACCAGAAGGGACCCTCCTTCTGATGGCCACTCACGATGATGGGAGCACCAGGTAGGAGGTTAATGAGCCTGAGGGGCAGAGCAGTGAGAAGCTGGAAAATTACTCTTGTGAATTGGTGTAAAAGAATGGCAAATTCCATTTTACATGCAGAGTTGTTCCTCACATCTTGTCTAAAAGTTTTGATTCAGTATCTTTTCCATGATTGCACATATCTGTGTGTTGGTGCTCCCTAGGATGGGTAAATATTGTTTAAAAGTACTCCAAAGGGCACTGCTGTTACATCTGAGTCACAACCTTCTTTACTCTGAAATATTATTTATCCACACCCCAATTATGATGTCTCTAGTTTGCATTCCTTCTAACATCATAATCTGATTTTCCAGGTGCTTTTGAATCTTTGGGGGTTTCTAGCTGAGTTTATGATATGGTAATTATCCAGGAAAAGACTTAATCCATGTTTGACACCCTTGTCCTTATTTAGGAAGGACTGAAGCAGCAGACAGTATTTGAGATACTTTTTTCTTTTTGCTAAGCTGTAACAAAGAGGTTGTATTAACATCAGGAACTTACTGAGAAGGAAAAAATTTAATAAATTCAATTTTCTCTGTGAATTCAATGTCATGCTGCTACCACAGCTCTCAGGACTATCTGAATCTCATTTTTGCTTCTGCAGGCTTAATGCTGAATGTAAAGCATGAATCAGCTATGATCTTTTTCATCATTTTTCACATCTTGAATTTTTAACACTCATGTTTTCACTACATTTTCCTAGGTTGAATGAAGACACCAAAAAATTAGTAGAAGAACTGGGAAGTAAAGAAATAAAGAATATAAAGTTCAGATCAAGCTGGGTTTTTATAGCTGCCAAAGGCTTCAAGCTGCCAGATAATATCCAAAAAGAAAAGGTCAGATTTGTTTCATTTTCACTTTATATTTGTCTGTATATCAAAACCTAAAACTTTGGGAATAACTTGCCCACAGGTTGCAGGAGGACTAAAGATACTGTTTTTCACAGAGATTTCTGTTTGCATCTGTGCCCTTGTGTTCACTTTCTGTAAGCCCAGTCGTGCTCATCTGTGTGACTGAGGCAGACAGAAATGAGAAAACCCAACAGAGAGTTCAGGTCCCTGGATGATGCTGATTCCCTCCACAGCTCCCACAGTTGGGCTCTTTTTCCCAGAATATCACTGGATCTCAGGATGGTCAGGCTGGAAGGGACCATGGTGGCACTTCTGGTGCCACCTCCCTGCTCCAGCAGGGCCATCCCAGAGCACAGGGCACAGGGCAGTGTCCAGATGGCTCTGGAATATGCCAGGGAGGAGAGCCCAGAGCCTCACACAGGGACACACAGGGACAGCCTGGGACACACAGGGACACACAGGGACACACAGGGACACACTGGGACACACTGGGACACACAGGGACAGACTGGGACACACAGGGACAGCCAGGGACACACAGGGACAGCCAGGGACACACAGGGACACACAGGGACAGACTGGGACACCCAGGGACACACAGGGACAGCCAGGGACACACAGGGACAGACTGGGACACACAGGGACACACAGGGACACACAGGGACACACAGGGCTCAGGCCCCTCTCACTGGGGCTCTCTCCAGGCTGAGCAGCCCCAGCTCCCTCAGCCTTTCCTGGGCCCGGAGCTGCTCCAGGCCCTTGCTCAGCTCCAGGAGCTCCTGGCCCTGCTGTGCTGAGGAGCCAGAGCTGGACACAGCACCCAGAGGTGCCCCCAGGGCTGGACACAGCACCCAGAGGTGCCCCCAGAGCTGGGCACAGCACCCAGAGGTGCCCCCAGGGCTGGGCACAGCACCCAGAGGTGTCCCCAGGGCTGGGCACAGGGGCAGGGGCACCCCTGACCTGCTGGCAGTGCCCATCCTGATGCCCCTCAGGACACCATTGGCCTCTGTGGTCTCTGCTGGGCAGGGACAGCTCATTGTCTACCAGGACCCCCAGGTCCTTCTCCACGGAGCTTTTTCCCAGCAGGTCACCCCCAGCTTGTGCTGGTGCAGAATACTTTTGCAATATTCTTCACATTTCAGAGCTTCTGCTGGACAAAGATATTCAATTTAGTGCATATCATGAAAGCCATCTGCAAAATAAGTAAATAACTCTGTGTAAGAGAGAAACTCGCAGAATCTTCACCCATTATGTTAAGCAAGATGTGCAACATTCTCCTCAGCTTCCCAATCCTCCTTCATTACTCCCTCCTCTTATATAAAGTTAGACAAACTAGTATGTAAATAGAAAAACTAAATACTGACTTTTTTATAATTTTTTAAAATTTATTTTATTTTTACAGATAAACCACTCTGACCAGACAAAGAACAGATACAAAGGCTGGCCAGCTGAAATCCAAATAGAAGGCTGTATCCCAAGAAACCTGATCTGAACAAATGCATACCTCATTAATAAAGACAATTCTATATTTTTATATCTATGACTCTAATCAATTGCCTCCAGAACTCAATAAGCATCTGAACACCAACTGCAAAATAAGTCAGATGCACAGTTTTTAACCTATCTTTGCTCTCTGTGCTTTTGTTTTAATCTGAAAACAAATAGGTATTTTGATAAGAAGTAAAAATAAAATAGTCTGGTTTGGAAATGCAGCGTTCAGGAAGTCAGTCATAAAGTGCAAGGATTTTTGAAAGTGAGTATAGATTGTCATTAATACTTTTAGGGGTTTGGTTTTACTTTTTTCTTTTTATTATGTCTTTCTTTTGGTTCCCTTTAAATACCAATACACAAATATACAAACAGAACTTAGTCTAAATTGTAATATAAAATCATTTACAATACAGCAAATTTCTTTGATGTCAGTTTATTAATAACATTTCTTCTGTTCAGAGAAACAAGATCAGCAAGATGATCAAGATCTATGGCAAGATCAGGTACATTTGTTGAGCTGCTTTTAGTGATGTTGACAACACAGAAAGCAATACTAACATGTAAAGATCCAGTTACTTGAATTATTTTTCCAAATTCAAGCTGCAAATCTACATAGTTTGATTTAATTATTTTTTCTTCCTTTAAGTGTAACTTACATAAAAAAAATGTAGTGACTTCATGCAAATGTGTTGTTCATGTTAACTATAGAATTAAGCACATGATTGAAAGGAAGCTGCAGAAACATTTATTCAATTTCCCTTTCTTTGAAGTACAGCATATGTCTGGACTGGTCTTAAGTGGTATTTGTCCCCCTGTGGTTCAGATATCTCCCATATGGCTGATTCCATAACTTAAATTATGCTTCCTGCAGAATTCCACTATTATTCTAATTATTCCCCAAACATATGGAATTAACCCAAAACGATTACATGGAAAATAACTCATCACTATTCTTTTTATACCATTCCATGATGTGTCTGATGACTGTCCTCATCTACTCTCTCCTCCTAGACTGAACCCACCTGTTTTAATCTTTCCTTACACTTTTTCTCAACATTAAAACATTAGTTCTGAGGTTCCTGCTTAAAGCCCCCTTTGAAAATTCAAATGAAGCTTGAAAGCTTTAAATCTCCAACTGTGGCTGCCACTTGTAGTCACTGCTGTGCTCTCAGCAGCTTTCTGGTGTTGTGTCTCTCACCAGTCCCTAAAGTTTCCTGCTACTGGTTTGCAAACTGCTCCATAGCCCAGGGACACTGCCAAAAAAACCATTTAAATTAGTCGGACTCAATTTGACTGTGGCAGACTCAGTGGTTGCTCCTTAGCACTTTGTTGCTGATGAGGTGGATACAAACTGAGCCCTTCAATAGCTGTTTCAATGTTTTTCCACATTAAGTCATTCTTCTTAATAATGATTTTTTTTGGGTGGTGCTGCTGGCAGGACATTTATTCCTTTGCATCGTAATCACCCTTTGCTACATGCCTGAATTATAAAAATAACATAATTACAGTGCTAATGGCTGGCAGTCCTCAAGAGTGCCAAGCTCTGAGACAGCCCTCGAGCTCTGTGCAGTCTGACAGCCACTGCCTCCTGCTCCAGGCCACAATTAATCTCACATCAATTACAGTTAAATTTTACTTCAATTTCTGTTTAGCAGTTACCATGAAGTACAACAAAATTCTCATGCTTTACATTTGCTCTGTTCTTCACACTCTGCGCAAGTGTTCCACTCTTAGCAACAGTAAAAGCTGCGCCTCTGTCATCTGAATCAAAGATCAAACCACCCCGAGAACCTTTCACAGCACAAATTCCTGCAAAATGGTCTTTAACCCATGATATTTTCCCTTTTACAGAGATGAAGCTGAGTAACTTGCACCAGACTGAAGTGTGCTGATAATCTGCAGTGCTGAATAGCCATCATCAGATTTGTTTTCATTTGCTCATGACACAGTACTTAAATATGGCAAGTACTTAAATATGACAAGCAGAGACCTCTCAAGTACTCTGACAACCCTCTGATCTGAGGAAATTGTGGAAAAGTGATCACTTGCCACTTTTTCAATCGCTATTCAGATTAAAAGCAATCTCGCAGAGTTGGTTTGAAAGTGGGACTTTGACTTTATACCCACAATTTGAAGACTTTTAAAGGAACTGCCTCCTAGGAAGAAGTGAAAAGCTTTTTCATGGAATCCTAAGTCTGAAAAATTAATCTGGGGAAAAAACAGCAGTGCAGTGGTGGAGGTCAATGTTCTCCATGCCAGGTGGTGTTGCCAACCACAAGGAGCAGGTCGGAAGTGATTTCCTGCATTCTTACGAGCTGGAAAAGTGCTGGGAAATACCTCTGGATGCTTATTACACACGTGGGGCCACCACCATGCAGTGAGGTAAAAGCCTGCACAGCAATCCATCTTTTTCTAATCCCAGTAGGCAAATCCCATAGGAAGCCATGAGCTTTAGGCTGTAACATTACTCAGGGCATGGATTTGTGGATTTAAAAGTGGGATGGCACAGCAGGTGGTAGCAGTGGTTTTCCACATCCTCTGCATCTCCAGAAATACCCAACCTTCTTGTGCTTACCTGTCCTGGGCAGACACTGGAAGGCACAGACACGGCTGGAGGTCACCTTGGGTGGACACCAGCAGCTTTGCCCCTGTTGTGCCAGACCTTCTTTTCCTACAATTTGCCAGGGGGAGGCTCCCATTTCAAATATCCCCAGCAGAGCATTTCACACATGGAATACGAGGGGGGCCCTCATACCCCCATGTAGAAACATATTTTAGATGCTCCTACTTTTACCTCCTATGTTAACATGACAACCAGACCCATAAAGAACAAAGTACTTGGACAAAGTTCTTGTGTTGCTTCTCCGTTTAAGAGCATGAGAAACATTTCAGGGTCCTGACATGTCTCTTAAAAATCCTTGGATCCCTGGCAGTCTAATTTGATGGCAGCCATTGAAAATATTGATCAAATAATAAGTAACATTTTCAGTTTCTCAGTGACAACTGTTTCTTCATGTCCTTTGTGTGGTTTTATCTAACTCAAAGCAGGAAGTTTCCACTATACTTAAAAGAAAAATAGAAGACAGGAAAAGAAAGGTGAAAGATGCTCTTTTTAAGGCAGGCTGTGCCAAAAGGAAAATTCTGACCAAGAGCAATCCACCCAGATAAGCAAAGAGAAGCTGATGCTTTTATTTAAACATAGTACCTGGAAGGAAGTAATGTATGACTGTGATTTATGTGATCTCGTCTTAACTGCAGTGAGATGCTGAAAAATGACTAGAATTCAGGGGATTGAGATGAGTGGTTTAATAATATTTGAGTGACAGCAGTTCTTTATTTCTGGGGACTTGAAGTTTTGATTTCAGTTCTCTGCTTTTTTTTTTTTTTTTTTTTTTTTTTTTTTTTTGTGCTGTGTTTTTGTTTTGGTTTGGGTTGAGGGGGGTTGTTGTTATTTTTGGTTGGTTGGTTGGTTGGTTGGTTTGGTGTTTTGTTTTGCTTTTCTTTCCAGGAGAGGTTTTCAGCAGCACAGGAAATGTAGCTTCTCCTCCAAAACACAGACTTTACACTAGCAGCTCCTTCTTCCAAAGTCTACCCAAAGACTAGACCTTTTGGCCTGTCTCCATCTCCATTGCAGGCCTCATTAAAAATAAAAAATATTTTTCAATAGCTATGTTTTAGCCAAAAACAATACACATTTCAACCTTGTATTTCTCAGGTAAATCCTATGTGGGTGTGCTTTTTATCTCCTAAGAATTCCTAGCAATGTTTTGTAGGAGGCTGCTCTTGGCCACCCAGCCAGGAGGTCGACCCCACCAAATGATTTTTTAAGGAACCAAGGGACACCTCCAAATCAGCTGCCCTTGTCCTTGTGGAGAATTCAGCTTGCCAGGTGTTCACTGGGAACACCACACAGCTGGTCCAAACAGCCCCAGGAGATTCCCCAAACACCTGGACGACAACTTCTCGGCACAGGGACTCGGGAGCCGCTCGCAGAGGTGCCCTCTGGGATTTGTTGCTCATTCCCAGAGAGGCTCTCGTGGCTGATTTGGGATTGTCTCGGCCACAGCGACCGCGCAGCCGCCGAGTTTCAGATCTCTGCTGCTTTTCCTGCGCCCGTCTGGCTCCCGAGATGGGCCAGGCACAGCTGAGCCTGGCTGGAAAAGCAGCATCTTTTATCAATGTGTCCATGGCAAAGCTGGTGTCCCAAAACGGATTCTTTCACCCTGTGTGCAAGGAGCCAATCCCCACACAGAGTTCAGCTATTTCCTTTATTTACAGTCCTGAACAGAACTCAGAAACAGAGCATTAGTTAGAACTAGATTATATTTAAGGCCCTTCCACTAGCAACCGTTAAATCCTGATCCTGACACAGGAAGCCAAATACTCACTGTATCTACAGGAGTATTTATTCAGATGAGCTACAAAAATAAATCAGAACAGAAAATCAGTTCTCCCTCACCGTGCTGCAGGAGCTGATGTGTTAAAAGCATAATCCTCTTTCTTGGATAAATGAAAAACAAATGTTCACTTCCCCTTCACAGGTCATTGCTGTGTGACTCATCACGAGTCAGCATTTTATCTTCTTAAGACACACCCCACAGTTGCAGTTGCCCAATATTAAATATCAGAGAATCTGACATTTATTGTAGTACTTGCTTTCTCCTGACATGGAGGATTTCCTGATCAAGCTTTTAATTTCCTTCACTTACAACTCATCATATACCTGCATGTGCAAGTACGTTGTAGTTAGACTTGGTTTAGGAACTGGCTGCTCAGTCTGACAGACAGGGTTGGGGAACACAGCTACAGCTCCTGCACAAATAAACAACTGGTGATTATTAGTGATATGGAAAATGTCTGGAGCTCAGGGTTTGCCAGAACTCCCTGCATCCCTGTTCACTTTGACTGCAGCACTGGCCTGACTGAGAGCAGCTCTGCACATGACCAGTAACTGATTTAGAGCCCTTTGTCCCTTACTGAGTCCCACTTCTCACAGCTCATATGGATGAACTGTGAGGGCTTTTTTTGTGTCATTTCATGGAA